ATGTTGCCACCCTGAATTACGGAGGCGATAGGGCGACGGCACTGCTCACACGTAAAGCTCCATTTCTGCTTTCAAACGTATAAAATAGGACAGAGTACCGCCTAAACATAGCACGAGATACAAACAGCATTCATATAGAGGAACTTCTGGGAATGAATATACAGAACTGCCTTCCGTTTGAAAACTTCAGTTTCTTCTCTTGGTCTTCAGCTTTCCATACGGATCTTTATTGAAAGTGAATAAAGGCATTAAATACTTCCCCCAAAACAGATTATTTGCATGGTGATGTTTAGAATTTCTTCCACGTAACTTACGTAAAAGTCTAATTTCTTTAGAAAGGTCTTCAAATGGCAGATAACTGTTACAGTTTTTTTTTTAATTTTTTTATTTCTTGTAAGTATAATGATTGTAGTAGGGTGAATTATGTATTGCAAAACGATAAAAATAAATATATCATTTTAAATCGCATTTCATTTGCAATGCTCTTTAAGAATGCCTGAATACCTCTACTTGTCTACATCCATATTTGCTTACCATGCATATATCTGTTTATGTCTGTTGCGTCTTTAATATGAAAGACGCAACAGACGCAAGTCTTCAATTTAATATACAACAGATTTTAGGTTTGAAATTATTGTCAAGTATCTTAATTTTTACCAGTAAAAGAGGAAAATTTGTTTTAGGAAGATTCTGATAGCTAATAATCAGAAGAGTTTCAAGAAATCATTATGTTTGGTGAGAAAGTAAAGCATGAAACTTAATAGACGTATACTTATTTTTCATTTTTTTCGAAGCGTCCAAGAAACACTGTGACATCTTAACAATCGGCAATGGTTACCAACACATTTCTTTTTCTAAAATCTATTTTCTATTTACCTAAATTTAAGGAATTTTTGCTTTTACATTACACAACAATATTAGTTGTTATGGATAAAATACTGAATAATGAAGAGATATAAAGTTCACTTCTAACAATACAATATCATTAATTATTTAATATTACAAAATTAGCTCTTTTGCTAACAATTTAGCTGTTTGCGACCACATTTTGTTCCTGACGCATCATTGTAAAAGGAATCAGAAAGTATTACAACAATCTGAAGTGCCGGAGATTACTTCATTTTTTCTAATATTATAGAGCATTAGTAGAAATATACATGCACAGAAAACAATAATAAAACTACTTTTATTCAAGTTTTGAGGTTTACACACTTAATCCTAAAGCGTCTTGCATACATTCCGTAATTGCCCGTCCAATTCACGACATAAACTAAGGAAATCTTAGTTTTTTTGTGGGTAGAAAATATTAAAATTATTAAAATTTATGTCAGATGCAAAACTATGAAAAGTGTTTTTGTAATAAAACGATTTAAAATTACAAATACTTGGAAATATATAAACCATATTAATTCCTTTTTAAAGTGTCATTTTGATTTTAATTTATTCGAAATAACACTGAGAGGACGTATGTAATTTTGTATTCTTTAATATAAGTATATAATTGTGGGTAATCATCCTTGAACCTCAATAGTAAAATACATAGCCATATGGACAATTTACTTCGCTGAACAGTAACTGAGTACAATATCTGTCGTGCAGATCGTGATAGTGTTGAATTGGACGTTGCGGAAACCGCGCATCTTAAGCTTGTTAACGTTATGTCCCAGTAATGCTCCAAGGTATTCTTATTAGAAGAGAGACAAAGCTACATAATGGCCTGATGCGTTTGAACTGCTGTTGTAAGATAATGTTGCAGGTGCTCAAGGAATATTCGTAAAATTAATGACACGGACATTTCAATAGTAATTGCTGTCTAAGATTCGCTCCTTTTGTAGTATCTGGTAATACATATAATGAAGGCAATCGCAAAAAAAACAGTAAGAGCAATCATGAATCCTTTAAAATTTAAAATAGGATCGCAAACAGCAAATTCATACAAGTTGGTGTTGCAATTTACGCCCATATCCTGCGTAATACTCTTTGATCCAAATTATAACAACCATAAATTAGCAACATGTTCATTGATGTTTTAAAAACTCCAGAAATTTCAAGACATCCACGATAAATATGTAATTGATTGCATGTGCCTCTTATATTTTTACGAAAGTATAAGAAATGCGTAGTCGAATTATTTCAATAAAATAAAATCTCGATATTATTTATATGAGATACTAAAGCTGAGAGATATATAAAAATATTGTGAAAGAAAATTTATGTGAATACGGATCATTATTGCAAAAATTTTACAATGACAAGCAAACAACAATCAAAAATATTTCCCTTATCTAAATTTATCGGTAATTTTTATCAAATGAAGAGATTTCCTATAAGTCGATAAAAATTACCAAAGAATGTTAAACAATGCTATTAGAAAAAGAAACTAAAACCCTAATTTTCAACTCTTTGTTCCGATGTAAAAGTTCTGTCAATACAGAAAAGTTTGTTAGATTCCAGTCAAAACACTGATCTTCGTGTTGTTGTATCAGCAGTATGCCAGAGCACCGTTAAAAAGAGAAGATGAGAGTCATGAAATTTAATTTTCAGTGTTTACAGAATAATTGAATATGAAATTTTATCTTCAATCAAGTAATCTGTACGGATCCTCTCAGTAAATTACATGGTACCTACTCAGACTATAAGGCGACTTATCCTACCGTTAATGTAAGTAACTACCAGCGCAGAAGAAGGTTTAAAGAAACTTTGTTTAAAACTTAACAAATGTACGACCTAATGCTTGCAAATAAATCTTCGTACTTTGCAGTATTTCAGAAAAGCTGAATTAAACTTCTAAGCAATTTAACGCTGGAGATTCGCAATCAGAAGCTTATCAAGTATTGGCTCATTATTCTAATTTAAGCGAGTAACTCGGCTGAAAAAATACAAAATCGGTTAAAGTAGTTCTCAGAGCGTTTCGAGGAAACAGCACAACGTCCTGTGTCCCTGCCAAAGATCTTTATAATTTATTACAAGTCTTATCTCATTTTTATCCGTGTGAGAAATTTCGAAAAGTGATAATTTAGTTAAAACAATGAGGCAATCGGTTAATGGACCTAACTTTTCAATCAATATGAAATTTAAACAGATTTAAATTTCTTTGTATTGTTTATTATGCATGCTACTCGTTTGTGTTATTGAGTTCCTGCAATAAATTCTTCAGTAATGAGCTTACCGTTATTTATGCAATACAATGAACTGTAATAAGAATTTGAAGTTTTAGAAAACGAAAACAAATAATATTTAGTACCGAAATTTAGTATAAATGCATAGAGAAAATTTTGCATGAATACTTAGGATGACGATAAAATGAAATTATTTATCAGACACGGGAATTTAGCAGTTGTTGTGAAAGAAAACTGAAACAAAAAGATCCTTAAATAAAAAAGATAATAAAAGCGTCATAACGTTACATTTTTGCTTCTAAAATTATAGTAGCAGTTTAATTACGGTTTGAACCCTGGATAAATTCCTTCTTGTTTTATTTATAATATTCCATTATTAACTATACAGGGTGTTTATAAATGAATGGTGCAGTTTTAAAAATGAATAATAAATCGATGCATTACCTTAGTGTAAAACCTACACCATAAACATTGGCACGTCTACCTGCTATTTACTTGTCACGCTTACTACCCAATTTCCAAGATGGCACCGCAACAGGAAAAGACTATTCGTGCGTTCCTTTTTAAGGTGTCCAGATCTGTGGTTTTAGTGCAGCGAGAGTTTCGTGCATATTTTCTGTGCGGTATCCCGCGAGAAAGTGCGTGGCCCATTTTTCCTCGAACAAGAAACTGCGATTGGTGACTCATTTCTACCACATGTTGGAAACCTGATTGTTACCCTAACCGAACACGAATGATTATATTTTTCAACTAAACAGTACTCTGCCCCATTTTTACAAGCATCTACGAGAGTTTCTTAATCGTTTTGTTCACCAACGCTGTATTGGACATGCTGCAAGAACAGACAACAACATTCTCACCTGGCCATCATATTATGCGATTTCTTTCTTTTGGGTGTTCGCTAAAGAGTGAGTTTATGTACCGCTAATGCCTGTGTGTCTTGAGGAAGTTTGTGGTTAGAGAAAGCATTGTAGCAGATCGGACTTGCTACACCGAGTATGGGGAGAATTTGATTACCGTGTAGATGAGTGTCGTGTGACCAAGGTTGCACATATTGAAGGATAGTGGTTAATGCATCAAAATCTTGTACAGTTGCCGCTGCTTATGCTAAGGTTTGCCCTAATAAACTAATACATCGATATATTATTTATTTTTAAAGCCGCACTATACATTTTATAAACGTCCCGTATTATGAAGTTTGCTAAAGCCATCGAATTCTTATTTTGAGTTTATATATTCGTTTACATATTCGTCTTCTTTTATGCCCATATGAATTTTAGAAATAAATACACATATAATTTTTTTCAGGCTTAGAACTGGGCATCATCATATCTTTTTTCTCATTTATGGGCTTCTTTTAATTTCTTTTCATCTTTTAGAAACTCTTTGATTTTGCCTTGGAGAAATGCGCTAGTGTTCCTCATCCTATTCCTCGTGTAAAATTTTATTTAATTAGTTAACATTCCATACTCTTAGAAGTAAAAAGTATGAAATTAAAAAAATAATCAAAATGCTCTATTGAGATTCTATGATTCGTTTTCAAAGAATTATAGATATGTAGTTTTCAAACGCAAAAGCATCAGAAAGGAAGTTTGGAAGAAATACGAAAAAATGTTGAATGCATGTCTTAAGCTGATGCCGCATGCTTTGGAAGTTCTTTATATATTTTTTCCAGTGTATTTGACTGCTCTTGAAAACTAGATAATTTTATAAAAACATCCCGTAAACGTGTTAAAATACTTATGTTTTTTTATCAGACATACTTTGCCTTTCATACATAAAAATGCGCATTCAGATCATCATTTTTTTTCTCTTTCGTCATACAAAAAGCATCCTACTTGAGATCTTCAACTCAAAAGTAAAAAACGAAATAAATTTTACCTTTTCCCAACCGTTGTGGTTTAGATTCATGACGTAGATTTCGACGTCCTTCAGAGTACCATCTAAGTTAAATTCGACGAGGCGACCATTAGTCTTGGAATAAAAGGATACTCCTCGCATGTGCCTGAAATGTAGGAAAACATGAATAAAATTTCTCCATATTTTTATTACCTAGATGATCTAAACTGCGTATTGTAAGGCAATCTCATGATATTATTCCCTTTTGTAAACTATTGCCGACGTCTGCTCTATAGTTTAAAATATGCATGAAGTGTGTTTTGCAGAGTAACTAATACTTCTTGAATTGACACATTTCTAAGCAATAATGAAAGCTACGATCCATGCAGTTACACTCGTTCACGAAATCTTTTTAAGGGGTGATACCTTTGTAAAAGACAGTTTCAGTTATTTTTCAACAGAATTATATGAAGAAAGTTAAATTATTCTCTCTGTCTTTCGCTGTATATATATCTAATATTCACAGTTAATCCATTAGCAGATTAAAAAGTCACATGAAAGGAGAATAACCCATGCTATAATTAATAAAAATCTGCTATTAATAATACACCCTTTTTCGTTTCTGTTCTTTTTTTAGGTCCTTTGATTTGAAGAGTAATTACATTTGGTTATGTAATTAAATTAGCACACATCTCAAAACAAAAGTAAATCTGTTTTTGTTTTTATTAATCTTGTATTTCGATGAGAATCAAAGGAGGATTAGAAAACTCATGTTCGTAAAATTAATTTTGAAAGTAATACTATGTGATACATATACTGAAATCTTAACGGAAAATATTAATAATACCTAAATTAGGAGTAAAAGCAAATTTTTGTCACCGCTACTGTTTTGCATGCTGATCATTAGTTCTGATGTAAAAGATCATTATTTCTGCAGATTACTAGTTCTGTAGTGAAATGCGAATGCCAGTTATAAAGATGGTGGCTGTTTTCTTCAAGGTAAACAAAATTCGGAACTACCCCCTCTAAGCACCAAACAAATAAATAAAGAAAAAGCTGTGTTTGTTCAGTTTATGAAAAAACATTCGAAGGCTGTCAAGGGAAGAATAAGCAAATTCTTTTTCCAGAAGTTTAAAGGTAATACGTTAAAAGTTCGAAATGCAAACATATAGGAAAACTAAACTTTTACAGAGAGCAAAATTAGTACATCAAAAAATAAACAAGGATATGCGTTATGGGACACAAAAAGAAGTTTTATGCGATCATGCATCTGAAATCTGTCACTTCAAGGAGTTAAAATTATTTTTCCCAAAATGTGATTTTGATGATAAAGATTATTGTGTTTTACTACGATAGTAAAAAGGTTACTAATAAGGAAAATTTATATACCGCCACTGGACCGGGCCAGGATTTAGGACTAGCTTCTATCTAAAGGTTTTGAAAATTTGAAATTCTTGCCATTATCGAGGCAGGGACCGTGACAGCAGACTGAACTATTTTCGTTGAACGAAGGACGTTATACAAATTTTTTCTGGAGCGACCGAGCTCTTATGACCTAAAGCAAGTCCTTCGCGGGTTACTTTTTAACGAAAACCAAACACTTTCTGGCACTACATTCTCTGTGGTGACTGAATGGCTAAAATCGCTCTGTTTTCTGTCTAGCATTTAATTTCCTACTGTTTAATGTTATGGTTGTATAACAATTTTTTCATTTAGCTAACATTTCAGAAGATATGGCATATTTACATTAGTAATAAGTAGTTAATTAAATACAATTCTCTGAAAAAATCTGTTTACGCCGTCAGATGGCCATTTTAAATTTATGATGTAAGAAAGAACATGCTTTCATGTGCAGACGAATGCAACTGAAATATCACCCCTTTCTATCGATGCCGAAATCCTTTTCATCATTTATTAACAGTAACAGATGTAATAACAGAAGCTAAGTTAGAGTGATGTTATAAACGTAATTTTTATTATTGATTTTCATTAATAAACTGAATAGTCCGTGATGTATTAGTATTTATTTTCAGTTGAATAATTTGCTTGAACCATACACATCAACAGTGTAGTTCATTAACACATTATCACCCACCACTTTATTAATGCAATGTATCTAACTAATTGCTAATAATAACTTTACAGGTGCAATGTTCTTGGTCCAGGTTCGAATCCCGAACAAAGCATGGCTGGATTTAAGCTCAGTGTGGCTTCCCAATATAGCCGTACTTAAAATGCTATCGAGCTAAAATTCCTCTTGAGAGGTTAGTATTAGGGAAAGAGGTGTAGGAGAGCCTTGGATCTATACTCCAGGGTTTTTTTTTCATTTTAAAATTAGAAGAGAGCTTCCTTTTTCTCACGAGTGAATTTCAGGTTCCTTGTATTGCACTCCGGCAACATTCTCAGCGATGAAACCACAAAAGAGTTTTAGGATGTTCGCTATTACTAACAAGTGCATTAATTGCAAGCGCCCGCCATTTGGAAAACAATAACACGTTTCAAAGCACTTGCTACTTTCTACTTATTACGGACTATGTCAGTTGCTCCGTGGATAAAACCTTGGAATATTCAGTTAAAGGTATTACAAAGACAGTTCGTGGTGTAAGTGTTGTGTAGAGAAGTAGATTTGCAAATTGAGATAAATGTAAAAAAAAAAAAAAAAAAAAAAAAAAAAAAAAAAAAAAAAAAAAAAAAATGATAAATTGAAGAATTCACCTGTGTCTAAAATAAGAAAATTGAACTGTAACTAAAATAAGAAAATTGAGTCCTTGATTAGGATATGATTTAATTTTAATTGTTGAGGAATTTCAATAAACTTGTATTTTAATCTGGAAACCTATTCCTTATGTTTTCTTTATATCTTTTATGTGTTTTTCGTATATATATATTGATTTTACATCTTGTTTATTCGATACTTTATCGCAGACCCGGTATGCTTATACACAACGCAATTTGTACTTTATCTTCATTTATACGATCACCAAAAATGTGGAAATTAGCTAACTCTTAAGAGTTTAGTTCTCAGTTGATATTTAGTTAGATACGGTTTCACCTGTCTGTTTCTGCATTAGTTTCCTCCCTAAGAGGAAGTAATAACACAAGCATTGGTGCCACATGATTCTCACGGCAAAGTATAGAAACAGAACATTGGTGCAGTAGCGAGTTAACCAATGGTGCTTAGTGACACTATCTGGCCACCTTAGTGAAGGATCCGAATTTGTAACTGATTTTGATTTTATTTATCCGGGTTAGAATTAAACTGATTCGTTTTATTGAAGGTAGCTATTAAAGTCTCTCGCAGTTAGGATTAATCATAGTTTTGATTTGTGTTTGCTTATTTGTTAATACAAGAGGAATAAGTTTTTGAGAATCTTTGAAAATTTCAGGAAATTTGGACTTTAACGTTAGACAAACAGAATTGAACTTTAAAATTAGAAAAAATATATATATTTTTAATGTAGCAGAATAGGTACTGTACATTTTTACTGTGGGAAATCCTTGAGTGTTTTCTGGATGTATATTTTTGATTTCTGACTTATGATACGCGATGGAAAATGAATTATTTCACGATAATCCTATGCTATTAATGTATCCTTGTATCAATTATTCGGAGGCTTGTCGGTGAAAACTGGACTCATTTCATATGAGCACTTCTAAGAGAAACGAGACTTAAACACTCTAATTTTACTTAATTTTACTGAACTGAGACAAGCCATAGCTATGCGTAACCTAGAAATTTGTGTCTTTGCTACTTATTTAACCTAGAATCTTGTGAAATGTGTAACTGTGAGGGGTAACGTTAGAGAAATTTTTAATTTTGACTTAACTGAATAATATTTTGTGAAATGTATGTAATGTTTTCATGATTAACTAGCTTAACAAGTATATTATTACTTTTTGATTTACAATGTCTTGATATGATTCCAGTATACTGTGTAATGTGTTAGTAAATTTCATCTAATATTGAGCAATGAATTTTAGAAGATCTTAAGGCATAATGATACAAATGAATGAGTTACAAATTTGTAGATTGTTTTTTCAATTGCAAAATTCTGTTTTAAAATTAACATGGGTTAGATACGAAATTTTGCCTGAGATCAGCAATAGTGATGTTTGCATATTTAGTTTTTTTTTTTTTTTTTTTTTTTTTTGGATTGAATTCTTCGGTTTGAGTGAACTTCTGATTAGTTTAATGAGTCAGAGTAATTGAGATTAGTTATCTTCTGAGGTTTAAGTTTGTGAAGAGTTGTCATGTGAAAATTGTTTAAACGGTAAGAAGTTGAATTTAGTCTTGAGAATTGTAGAAAGTGAATTTTAATGAGAATTTTGTGACAACGGAAATTTGTTTTGTGAAAATTTTTGAAATAAGTTTGAGAAGATTAGTTAGTTACTTTAGCTCTGTACTCATGAGTGGGAATTTTCTGTGGATTACAAGTAGTTTGTCTTGAATTTACTAGTGGATCGTAATAGATTTGTTTGAATTTATTTTCTTGGTTGAACGTCTTGCAGAATTTGGGGTCAATTCTTGTTTTGGCTTAAGTTTTGTATTTGACTTGTTAGTATCAAGATAGTTGTATCAAGATTTTGTTTTGTTTCTGGTGGTTTCTGCCAAGGTCCGTAAAATGTAAGTTCTCTGAGGCTTAGTTTTTGTGGAAGAATTGAGATTTCTGTGGTTATAGGAAAATGGTAGAATTTGAGTTGTAGATTGGATTTGTGAGATTTTTAGGGATTTTTGAGTTATGAGTATTTTTTTTAGTTTAGCGCTTTTGATAACTTTGCATTTGTTGCTTGCAGTTAGGTCTTGCGTGAATTTGTAATGTCCTGAGAGCTGGTTTTCTTGTAAATACTTGCACTTCATGGTGGCACTTGACCTCTTACACCGAAGGAAACAGGAACTGTTATCTGAGAAAACTATTGTTGTATCTTTTTCATTGTGTTGGTTCAGGATTGTATCGTTTCAGTCAGCGCACTTTTCTTTCCGAGATAGGAAAGGAACATATTTTATCGCCGATTTTTCTGAATGAAATACCATCGATTTACCCACAGTGCCATCAATCTGTGAGACTCCATCAGGACAAAGCTAGCAGTCACAAATCAAAATCCACTGTAAATTTCCAAAAGAAATGGAACAAAAAAACTGGTATCAAGGCCAATACCTTTCACTGATATCTCTACTAAATCTCCCGATGTGTCACCTATGGATTTTTGTGCATTCGGACTTTTAAAAATGTATATCCAAACGTTGTCCCCAAACCCTAAAAAGGACTCTGGAAAGCTGTTCGGGAGGAATGGGATAGAATATCTCTTCTGCCACTTCAAAAGGCATTATTATCCTGGAAATTGCGGTGCGAAAGATAATTCAGAATAAGGTATGTCAAATAGAACATTTAAACACAAAAATTTTATGTAATTTAGTTTTGTGAATACAATATACATCGTCTAAAAAATGTGTTAACAGCCTCTGTATAGCTGACTGAGGTGCCTATACTACTTACTGATTTATACCCTTTTTCATACCATAACTTCTTACTAAAGGAATCTTTTGTTCTGAATGTGTTATCATTTGTTTATCTCCTCATAGGCTAAATACATGTTAACTTTCGAGAATGAATGAACGTATGAATAAGAATGCTCTTAAAAACAAATTCTTTTATAAGGACATCAAAAATAAGAAGTGTTCGGTTTTTTTCCCTACGTCCTGTGCATAAAGTGATAATAACACATGTTGAATCTTAGAACTATTACGATGATATACATATTAACTCTGTAAAATATCAGATCTTTCTAAACTTTAAATTTCTTATATTACTGTTTTTTATACATTGAAAATTAATCGTTTATTAAGCTTAATCTATATGGAGCTTCTGATAAATTTCCAAATTAAAATTTAGCCACTAAATCTGATATATTACTTACTTGTAAATGACTTCCCCTTTATGCCAACGACTTTGTCCTGCGCCATTACAACTGAGGTTGGGCGTCAAACTAATGTTCACACTTTTGGGATCAGCAAAGAAGCTCTCCAGGCCGTGAGCAAAGACATTAACTGCTTTGTCTATTTCAACTTCTAATTTTTCTCTTGAACTATTCACATAAAGACCTAAAATATGAAAATTAAAAGAAAAATTTTGAATTTTAATTGTGAATCTTAAGAAAAAGTAAAGATAAATGCTGTAAACAATTACAAAAGCAGATAATTTGTATTAAAACAAGAATCTAATGACACATTTTGATTTTTACTTATCTTAAGAGTGCGTAATTTATTTCCTTTTCGCTGGTTGACAAATAGTTTCTTATAATACAGAGTTTCTTAAACTTTGGATCGCGACTCCAGTTGGGGTCACAGGACCTGCAGTAGGAGGTCGCCAAAAGTTTAGCAATTTTGATATTTCTTTAACTTATTATAATAAATTTAAAATTACCAAATATTTTTACACAATGTTTCTGAAAATAAATAAAGACAATACAGAGAAAGAAGAAATGAAAACATTTCGACGCATTTTTTTTATGATAGAAACTTTCATTTTACTATAAAAATTAATGACTTAAAACTGCAAAATATTACAGTACAAGTGAAGAAACTGATAGTTTCACTCACGCATGTGTCAAATTTGTGGAATGCTTATGGGGGTCCCGCAAAAGTTTCGTAAATCTTATGGGGTCCCCACATCAAAAGATTTAAGAATACCTGCTATAATGCATTCACGAATTATATCATCTGATTTTCATAAGGAAAACACGTTTATGTTTCATGCTAAATATACCAAATTCAAAGACGAATATTCATCAGAAAGCATTTGCTAGGAAGGCTGAACCTGTCGATTATTTGGCCGGCATTATAAAGAACACTGCGCACGGTGCACTCTCGAAGATGAAGTCACATAAAAACAATCCAGCTGCAAGCGATAATCAGACTCAAATGTTAGGCTTCAGACTAGCAGTCACTCTTCGCTAAACCTCTATATCGTCCAAAGATACAAATGACAGTTTATTGCATGCAGGCTATTTTTATCATTTAAGACAAAATAGCGTTAAAATTTACATTAATTTGTGATCAGCATCATCGGAGTTTAAACATTTAGGCGCATCCACCATCAATGGACTCATTCTGTATTTTTGAAAATTTTCTATAATACATATACTTAAAATATTTTTAACCTTTCAATCAAATTTCGTTTGGATGTACTAAGCAGGTTCACTTGGTTCCACATATTCCATCCATCCTTATATGTACTTATGTTCTGATGTTATTACATACATTCATTAAACTGCTCATAGATGCTACTTTTATTTATTACATTACTGGTGGTAGTTTCACTTAAATATGAATTAGGATGAATCTACGTAAAGACTTTCGGTTTTTCTCAATTTTATCTGCTTCGCGACGAAAATGTAAGATTTCAACAATTTCACTCACACGTCATTCCTTGTGAGCAAACTTATGTAAATCAAACCGATTTGTGATCTTTAAAAGTATAAAATATCCTGAGAATGAAATGATCGACTATAATAAAGAAATTCTTCTATATAGTCATCAGCTTAAGTCTGCGGCAGGCTGGAGCTACCTTACACTTATTCTTTGAATTTACTGAGTATTATTTGAAATTTTTGAGACAGTGGCAGACAATATGCTCTAAGAGAAAATTGCTTGTTAGGTACGTAAATTTAACGCCTTTCATGATTGCAAACTGTAATTTCTGTCAACAACTGTAATTTATCAATCATAAAATAAATTTTAAAAGAATGGAAACTGAAGCTCACATGAGAGCACTATCGCTGTACGATTTTCATATGATTATAAACTATGACTAAATTTAGAAGAAAATTATTTACAACATTTACAACTAGTGTATTCAAATTAACCTTCTGGATAAAAAACCCACAGGAAGACCATTGACATTTGCAGTCTCAGAAAAGATGTCGCCATACAAGAATTGTTTGAGTGGTACTTGCTGTACCTACCAAAAGATATAGAAGGCACTTAACACTATATACGCAGCTATACATATCATAATTCTAAAGGGCAGCATAAGAAAGAAGAATTTGCCGTTTGATTCGCCATAGATGAACAGAACACGGAGTATGGTACTTGGAGCACGTCCATCTCATTAAGTAACTTTAAATTTCCTTAATGAGGGTGGACACCGCATTATTTATAAAATCGTAACTGCTGAAGAAAAGTACACACCGTTTTATAGCACAGAGCAAGAAAATAAAGTATGTGTCTTTGAGGATGACTCCAAATCAACAATGGGGAAAATACAACGAGGAATGCAAAAAGTAATTTATGTCTTTTTTTTTTTTTTTCAGAAGTACAGGACTGGTCAAAGCCGTCAAGATCTAGGGACAGAAGACAGTTAAAATTAACTGATTCGCTACTAAATGTCTTCCAGAAATTTCTTATGAAGTAAAAATTAAGGGACTCGTGCTTCACTATGATAATAGTACATTAGAATATGCACCCTATTCTCCTGATCTTGCTTATATGTGACTTTTGACTAATTTACAGAAATTAATATTGACTATTTAGCAGAACACTTACGTATCCGTCGGTTTTATTCCGAAGATGAGGCTGATGAAGCTGCAAAAGGACATTTTTCATTAATTTAAAAAAAAATGGATGGCTTGAAATGTTTAATGTTTGGAAAATTCGCTTACAAATTACATTGATGCTGGAGAGAACTACTTTGAACGCTCATAAGATTTGGTAAGTTTTATTTGTATTATTTAATTATAAATAAAAAATTTCAGAGTTACCCTCATATTTCAACTTGAGTACAGGTCAGAGTTTCCTTACTTAATATTTAATCTATCGATCAAACAGGAATCACTAGCACGCACTAAAATTACAGCAAGAGATATTGGATTTGAAAAAAATTATTTTATATATGATCACCAGCAATGATATCTGTAACTATTGATAAATAATTAGGTATTAAGCAATCATCTGTGAACAGTAATAAAAAAAGCAATCTTACCTGTAGATGCTTCAAAAATATAACAAAAGAATAGGAGATAGGGCTAGACGAAATGTTTTATTTTTATAACTAGGAAAATGATGCTATATTTACTTTATTGAACAAATTTTGGAAAGATCTCAGAAACATGTTCCAAAAGGTTGGATGGTTAAAAATGCCATGTGATATTTAGAGTTTTGGATACTAATTATCTAGTGGCATTATAATTGGATCTTGTCATTTGGCGGCTCGCAAAATCTTAAGTTTATTCAACTTGATAAGACTGGCATTTTGAAAAATATATCCCGCAGTTTATAATTTGACGTCGAACGTTTAATAACAATACAATTTTCATGCACGGTTAAAGGTAATTTGTAGTTAATTTCAAAATACTTTTAAAAACTTCAAACAGGCTGGTGACGTGTTCATGGAAAATTATTGGTAATTCAGGTAGTTTATTAGATAATTTATTTAACAAAATGTAATCATCCATTAAACTCTATAAGATTTACGCTCTTTTGCTTTCCTTTGAATGTGCTCAAATTGCAGAGATGTTTGACATGTTACCCATCAGTCTTGGGATTTAACGAATTCTCAGCTGATCCCATACATGACAGCTTCTAAGTTGAGATTTATGAAAATAAAGAGATGATCATAATAAGGATTATGAGATCAAACGCCAGCATTGTAATCTTGACATATATCTTTTCTATCCAGAGTATCTGACACTGGCTCATTTTGCTTTTCGGGCTAGTGTAAACAATTTTGATTGATCGATGCTGCATATTCATGAAGGGGAATATATTGATTGCTTGACTATACTTCGTCTTGGAGGTTTAGAAAGAGAGAAGTATACATTCTAAATATTCGATTTCCGAAACTTTACAGGCAATCATAATAAAGTAAGCAACTGGAATAATATAACGTGTTAAATGTCCTTATGATGTATAATCAGAATTGTTAATACTATTGTTTTCTGTAAACTAGAGCAAAGAAGATATACAGACATAGACACTTTAATATGAAATTTTAAGTGTATATAACAATCGGATAATTTGCATTCATTCTGAAATCACTTGAGATTACAGAATTAACAATGTATTTCTGTGTTTGTAAAGGGAAAAATTCGAATATCATATTTTATATTTAAAACTTATTTTAATTTTAAATCTGCTTGTATTACGAAATTTAAGAAAAAATGTCATTGTTGTGAATGTCATTTACGAGAAGCAATTTTAAACTCGAAATTCACGGAATAGAATTTTTTTGCTTATTCTCATAATATAATTTACTTCGAAAAAATTGTAAGAATTAGTGTTCGGTTTTTTTTATATAAACAATCAAGAGTGATTCGACATAAATCTAACATAGATATGCAAAGAAACGAAACGTCACTAGTAATAACGATATTGGAAATAATGCATTTTCTTTCTTTCTTGACTACTTCTAGACTCTCAACTTTAATGTCCATTTGTTCATCCAGTATAGATTCTGGCTAATAATTCTGTAACTAGAAATGTTCATTGAAACGCTGATAGTAATCAATTGATTCATATGGAATTCAGAATAAAGTGATAATAGAACCTGACCATGAAAAACAATTACTAGGAGGAACATTCAAACATTTTATCACTGCCTTAAGCAGAATTCTAGTCTTGGTAAAGATTGCACTTTAAATGTTGCAACTCTTGTTTTTGCCCATATCAATGGCACTTTAATTTCTTCTACAAAAAAGGATTTAGCATAAATATCCCCACAATACGCCCTCTAAGAAGAATCACAAAGGCATATAACTCTATCTTACGATAATTATTAACTAAAATCATTCTAAGAATTTTTAATTTACTAATCGAATTGAACTATCCATGAAAGCGAGTCCAAATCGTCGAACGTTGTGAGTTAAGAGATTTATCCCAGTCTAACGTGCGATTCCACGAGTTTGGAAAATATATTTTTACATAAATAAACACTAAGCACCTAAGTTGTCAAAGCATCTGGCAACTTCTGACTGCACATCGAATGTGTCACTTATTCCAACACCTTTTTTGCTGTTCTTTGAAAATGTCTGACTGAAGAGCAATTTCTTTGAGTTCTTGTGGGAGTTCTCCTAATACATCAGGTACGTTAAATGACCATTTCCTCA